CTGATCCTGCCTGCAACGTACAAACTCTTATAGTGTATTTCCTTTGTGTCTCTCTGTCACCAGTAGTGAATTGATATGCATTTTCACTCTTGCAGAGGTAAAAGTTTGCCTGACAGTCTTCTGTGCCCCGGTAGAGAGACGCAGAACCTTTCCTTCTTTCTCCTGTTGTAAGGGTTTGCATGTTAGTGTGGACAAAGTCTTTGTGAATTGGGTAGGAATTTCTGAGAGCATTAATTCTAATTGCATCTGTGTAGTACAACCCACATAATAGATCCCCTGGAGAGGTTTGTATTTCTGTTAGCCTGAGTAAATTAGGTTAAGAACAAAAATATGCACTGATTTTCATTTTTAGAGGGAGTAGGGCAGTACAGGAGAACCATAAGAATAGCTTGAAGGCTGTATGTTTAGTTCTATTTCTGATATTTCAGCCTGACTGTAAAAGGAGCACTTAGTTGTTGTGTTGGTTTTCCTTTTTAAAACAAAACAAAAACAGGTAACAACAACAAGCTTCAAAACCCTAATTCCTTATGCTTTCAGAGTTTTAGGAATTCACTGGTCCTATAAAAAAAACGTTGTGCTGTTTTGTGGAGAGATATTTTTTCTTTTTGTATAGGAAAAAGGAGGACACAACGCATGACTCTTGACTGTGCTGCAATGCCTCCAGTAGTTCAGCTTGGCAAGATAACAAAACCAGATCAGAACTTAGATGGCAATTAATGCTTTTGGAAAAAAAAAAAATTAAATGTCATGCTGATTAATCGATCTTTTAATTAAAACAAACAAAAAAAGCCCAACAAAACTTTTCTCAACAAAAAACAGTATTGCAGATCAGGTACTCATGTTCAGGTCTGTCCCTTAATGATGTGAGTGTACTAAATGGCAGATGGGAATGTTGATGATTCACTGAATATATTTATGTATATATTAAACACTACCTCACCAGAAAACAGCTTACCAAGAGGGTTATGGAATTTAAAATTTGTTTTCAGTGGAGCCCGTTCTGCAGTACAAATACAGCGAGCTCCTCCTGTGAAAAGACAGATGGGAGAGCCCTCTGCAATGCCCTGCTTAATCACCTCAAATGTGCCTCTCTGCATCCCTTGGGCTTTGTGCTTTCTGGGCACTGCCCTTACAGTCATGGCTAATAACAGCATTTACACAGGCTGTCCTGATTTCAGACATCTACTGCCAAGTCAGCCACTGTTTACCTGTGACGTAGTTTTTCTGATTCATGAGTTCTCACCTATGTCTGACCACTTACCTCCTGCTGGCAGAGATGAAAATATTCTTTGCTGTGAAAAACTGCTGGGAGATTGACATCCTCTTCCTGCTGTAAATCTTTGACCACTTCCAGCAGGTCCAAGGCAGCCCTGGGAGAAGTTGGCATTGACTACCTCAAATACTCTGCTGTGCAGTCTGAATAAATTTGAAAAATGCCACTTTTAATCTCTTGAGCTTTTACTTTCAGCTGCTTCTCTACAATCATGATAGCCATAAATCTTGTTTAGCATAATCTCATTCCTCATTTTTATTTTTAGTACTTGACTCCAGGAAGTGTGGCTTAAAAAAAATAAATTAAAGAACCAAATGTTCAGTAAAATATGTCCTTCCAAAAAAATTTGTCCTTTCAATAATATTGTTAGACAATTCAATTAGCTTTGATTTGGACTTTAAATACCCAGTCTTGGTGGACTGTGCCTGACATATTTGGCCATTCAAGGAGTAAAGGAACAGCAGTATAGGAACTCAACAAGATTTACAAGCCAAGTGTCCACTTAACCTGTGGGTGGGAGTTGGGCAGCACTTGTGTGACTTGCAAGTTGACAAAAGTTAATGGCAAGTTAGTGATTTAAAAATGTATCACTGTAATTATCACTTGTTTTATTTCCTTATCTCCACCCTTTGGAAGTGGGAAAAAAAAATCAGCATCCTCTGGTTGTGTTCGCAGAAATTATTACAACTAATAAAGTTTTTTATTTAGTAAACTACAGTATAGCAATATTGAGATGACTGGGAATAAAAACATAATTGATTTTGTCTTCTACCTTTACTTCAGGAAAGACTCTTGAGTAGTGTTCTAAAGAAGCTGTGGAGCCTGAGTTAGTCATAGGGGTTTACCTGCTTGAGCAGTGATTCATTTGTACCTGCTCTTAGTTCCAGCTGTGCTGTTGGTAATGAAAAATTGACGGCTGAAATTACAGGAGAGAGGTAGAAAGGCCTTTGTCCAGCAAGAGAGCAGCAGTGCTGCCTGAGACATAATTTATTCACCAGTGATTTGGTTACTCAACAGTCTACATGGATTCATAAGCCATTCAGGAATCAGATTTCTAAACAGAATGTGGACAGAAGTTTCCTTTAACGTAGGACAAATGCCCTTAAGGCTGTACTAAGGTTGACACAGGGCACAGGATCTCTGCCATGGTTCTGTATTGGACTTCTGGTACATAATTCATGCTCAGCAGAGGCAGTTGAGACCATGACTCATTTGTGCCTCTCTAAAATATTAAACTTTCAGACCACTTCAATTCCAAGCCTGGCAAGATACACAACCTGATACAGTAAAATATTTATCTGTGTTGTCCAGACAATGGCAAAAGAATCTAGTAATTGCAAAGGATGCTACTTGTGATTAATGTCATTATTTAATTATTTTACTTATTATTTAAATATTCTACTCTACCTAGGAGTAGAAGGGACTGCAGTTGCATGGGCATTCTACTTACTAAAGTATGTTGGAAATGCATGAAAGTTTTGTATCTTTTCTTCAAGAATTTAAGCCTTTAAAGTATCTGTGCATGTATAAGCAACTGATACTCTGAAGGGGGATGAAAGATAAGAGAAACTGGACAAACTTACACTTCTGTAATAGCAAAGATTAAAGATGAATTCTAAAAGAGAATTTGAGAAGGGCCTTGAAGTATTTGAGTTTTGGTGGGGGGTAAATATTAACCATGCATTTCATAAAAGCACTCAAATAGCACGTTAAGTAATGAAACTACTGATTAAAGACTAATTTAAATGTTCTTGATGATCGAGTCTAATTTAACAGAATTTGTTCTTCTGAATTGCTAAAACTAGAACCTTGTCTGTAAGCATTCTTTTTAATCTACCTGGTAGTAATAGCTGGAATTTAAATGCTTCTGTGCTTGTTTGTGTGTTACTTTCTTTAATGGCAAATCCAATAGCATTGTATCACAGATTCAAAATTTGGTTTTCTTGCATTTGCATAGGCAGCTCTGTTGAACTCTGTTTGCAGACAACGGATGTACTTAGGAGTGGACTTAGCCTGGAACTGAATGCATGCAAATGGCTCTATATGTGAAACTCTAGACTGCACTGAAAAATCTGAGTATTCCAGCTCATGTTTCCCTGCATAATGAACTCTCTGACCAGTATGATCAGATGATACAAAAAGTCATCTTTGGTGTATACACAATACCTAGGTTCAGATGAACTGTTTTTAATGAGTAATTCATATTGTTTATCTTGTACATTCATTTCTATCCTTTCATTATGCATTTGCATACATTGTGATGGCCTGTTGTAGAAACACGGCAGGATTTTTATAACAGTTCAACTGAAATTCAATGTGGACTAGATCAACTGTTAAGAGGCTTGGTAGGATCTCAGCAACACCGCTCACAGGGTAAAGAGCTTTTGTGAACAAGGGTACAGAGAGTTTTTCTGTGGTACTCAACACTTTTTCTATTGGAGCAGACTATTAATCCGTTGTATTTTGTACAGTTATTTCATTTGTCATCTGTTTTTAAAGATGGCGACCAGAGACAGTGTGAGGTTTTGGCATCTGCTGATCTCTGAGCTACAGGATTGCAAGACTCAAGTTGCAAGTCAATGTTTTTATCTTTTTGTTTTGATCATAAAGTCAAGCAGTGGTGTTTTCCAAGGCCTCTGGTAAATACTGGTGAAGAATGACCGCTTCTGGGTGTGTTGGCTACAGCAGTGATTTGTGAATCTTCCTGACTTCCTGCAATGGTCTAAGCTTCTTCAGAGTGTATTATTTAGTGTGTTTGAGCAATCTTATGTGAACACTTTGTTAACTTTTTTCCCCTGCAATCTACTGCCTTCATTCTGCAAATTCACAAGTGGATTCTACTCAGTCGTGTCATCATTCAGCTGCTAACTTGCACCTTTTCATCCATCTCCTTGAGACATAATCCGTAGTTTCTAACAGGTTGTCCTGCACATCCAGTCCTTCCAAGTATACCTAGTGATTCTTTTTGTAGTTCACTTAAGTTATCTCTCACATTTCACTGGGAAAATTTAGTGGCCAGGAGCAAGTGTTAAGGTGCTTTGGCAGCATAATGAAGAGCAGAGATTCCTCACCTGGAATGTAAGCCTTTCTGCTATAGATTTGGACACGTGTAATTTATGTTTGCTTGCAGTCCTAGATACTGCTGCTGCTGTCCAGGAGAGTGGAGCCCAGGGTATGTTTTTGTGGACTCATCAAATGGCTGATGTTGGTTTGGGTTGGTTGGTTGGGAGTCTTGTTTGTTTGTTTGTTTCTTAATGTATACCACATCCTTAGGGAGGAGATGATCAGTATTTAAGGAATGTAACTACTCCTATACTACCTCCACTTGGAGACAGAAGTTACCACAATGAGTGTGTGTTGCAGGGAGTGGAATGTGCAATATAATTTACATGGTCCAAATTACTGGCCTCCACCCCAATTTGAGTCAGCAATAGCTGATGTGGAACTGGAAGGTGTCAAGCCTATGCTCCCACTACTCCCTCCCTTCAGGGAAAGAAAGAGTTTATCGCTGGGCATGGTAGATACTCCTGCAGATGCTTGTGTCCAAGACCTTGCCCTGGCTAGGGTTGCTGTCTACTAGGTTGTCATCTGGTAATCTCAGGCACCAAAATAGTCTGGAATTAAAGTACCACCCCATGGTATGTCCTGTTTCTTCACCAATCAAGCTTGAGAATCCTTATTAACATGTTGTAACAAATCCAACATAATTTGTTCTTCAACCGTTGGTAGATTTTATTTTTGTGTTCATCTCATCTTCAGTAGCTTTGCTTTAGTAAGGGTCTAACTCCAGTCATCACTGAGTATTAACAATGGAAAAGAGGATGCGAAGGTGGTTTTGGGAGGCAAGTTTCCCTGCAATATACAAGTACAGAAAAAGAACATTGAATAGTAGGTTAAATACTTAAGCCTACACTCTGCTGTGTCTAGCTATTTTTCCAGCATATTATTGCTTTGATCCATACTTATAGCTTGCCAATCAAGACACATTTTATGACAAGATAACATTTTACATTCTGGCTGTGGCTGGAACTTTCTGCTTCTCTGTAAATTTTTGGCCTAAAAGATTTGAATTAATGTCTTCTCTTTAGACAGATGCTGCCATTTAGAAGTGTTATCTAAAAGACATGCTATTAATTCTTGACCTCAATTAAGTCAGTACAAAATTCTCACAGCTGAGTGTGATAAGCAGTTATGGTTCTATGATACTGAATTTGCTGTGATGTATCATTTTATTCAGCATTAACACAAGGCACATCTTGCTTGATAATTTTTCAGAACCTTAGCACATCAGCCCATTTTCTCTTCTCTCTCCTCCCCCTGCCCAAAATCTAATTATAGTGGCTTCCACTGCTGTCTCTCAGTCTTGACAATTATAAGTAGAAGCAAGCAGAAAGACCTGAGTTATACCAATAACCAGACTTTATTTATCAGTCTCAAAACTGCATTTAATAATGCTTTTTAACCCTCAAAGCTGGGAATGGATCCCCATCTGAACAACATGATGAGTGTCCTGTGATAAGTATGCTGCAGGTGCTGTGTCCTGCTCAAGGAGGCCATCAGACCAGGTTGTGCTCTTCTGCCTCCTCCTGCTCTGAGCTCTTCTGGCTCCAGCTTCCATTTGAAACCTTGAGGCTGTAGACTGGAGAGGGGAAAGCTGGGACCTTAGTGAAACCGTTCCATTTGAGACAGCATGAGGCACTATGCATAAAACACTGGTGGGTTGATGAGCTACAGCTTGGGCCAAATGGGATCAACAAGGTGAGGGAGATGTATCCAGAGGAGCTCAGTGAAACTGGAACTACTGAGGGCACAGTATTTGTACAGGGAGAAAAAGGGGTAATAGTTTAGCAGATGTTTGAAAGGGGGATTATTTTCCACTTGCATCACTTACATTTAATAAAGGGCATCTCTGTTATGGTTTTACATGTTTTAATATTTTTTTTCTAAATACTTAGTAGATTAATAAATCTAAGCAAAAATAGCACTACTGTTATATCTATAATTTCAAAACCTTAGTTTTGTTTCCTTCTGCCTTTTTGAAATGAGACCTAGGCTAAGCAAATCAAACTATGTAATCCCTTGTGGTCTGGCTGGATTCATCTATGCCATTAGGACTGCTTTTCTTAGCCACAGTTAACAATGGTGTAATGGATTTTATAACATTTTATTAAGTTGAAATGCATCAATAGCACTAATGATAAACAATTGTGGTATTTTAGGAAGAACAATTTCCAGCACTTACTGCACATGCCAACCTATGGAGTTTTGGGGGAACACTTGACTCTGTGGCGTGAAAATATGGAGTATTTGTCCTTTACAAACATGTTTGTGCTGTGGCACAGACTTAAGGAAACTGATCTTGGATGTCTGTGGTAAGAAGTATATAACAGCATTACTTTCATATCTAGATTAAAGTTCCTCTTTGACTGATGACGACTGTTGGCTAGTGTAAATCAGGTTAAAGTGGCCTAGCTGGAAGTTGCTGTGGGGAAGATGGGAAGGGGTTTTAATGTTGATGCCAATCATATGACATGGCAGATGTAATACTGCCTCCTCCCTTCCTCTCCCTCTGATGCACACTGGGGCTGTCCCTGGCTTAGGATGATAAACTTAATATGAAACTCCAACTGAGATGTATAAGGGTTTTCTGGAATCCAACCTTCTCCTACCTTGATTGAAAAAAAAAAGGCTTTGTGGTGACCGAATTGTGGCCTTTGAGCACCTGAAGGGAGTCTATGAGAAAGACTGAGAGGGACTTTTTACAAGGGCATGTAATGGTAGAACAAGGGGGAATGGCTTCAAACTGAAAGAGAGTAGATTAGATATTAGGAAGAAATTTCTTACTGTAAGAGTGGTGAGACACTGGAACAGGTTGCTCAGAGAAGTTCTGGATGCCCCATCCCTGGAAGTGTTCAAGGCCAGGTTGGATGGGGCTTTGAGTAAGCTGGTCTAGTGGAAAGTTCCCTGACCAGGGCAGGGGAGTTGGAACTAAATGATCTTCCAGTCCAAGCCATTCTGTGATCTTTGTCTGTGGAAAGAAAAAAAAACGTAGGATACCTTTTAATGCATAACTGATAGTGTTATCTACCTTAATTAATGATTACTCATTAGCCAGTGCCAACAGTAGCTTTAACTGAACTTTTCCCAAAGGAATGATTAATTGCTGTTAACACTGGACATCAGTATTCTACATTCAGCAGGGACAGCAATAGTGTTTTTCAGCCAGGTAGTGAGACTGCAGAGGATGTGAGCAGCCTAAATGCAAATTATGGTGTAACTTCTCCTTTTGGATTTCCCAGCGTTGCATTATTTCTTCAGTCAGCTTGAGCTTGTGCAAAAACTACATAACCAGCTTGCAACATGGATGTATTCGTGACCTTCTTTTGGTAACCAAGTTAAACATAGTCTTGAGGAAGCTCAGCAAAGAGTTGCAAAGCTGCACATGGTATCATAAGACAAGGAGGTTGCGTGCTGTGCTAAACTGGGGGAGGGAAGATGAGTTTTTTAATAGACCTCTGTCTTGATCGAATTTCAATGATGGTATTTATTTTACAATATTTACTTCCTGGAAATGTACAGTGGACCTTGGATCAGACCTGAATAGTTTGCCCCAAGTTCTTCAGTCAGCTCGAAAGGGATGGGACCTTTGCACTTTGCACAGTGCTGTTTGAAGTCACTGGAATTCAGCGCATGGACAAATAGACTCCCCTACAAAAGCAGCTGTTTTTGTTACACTGGACTCTTTACTTTCTTTTTCAACTAGACAAAACACCACTTTCCTGAAACATCAAAATTAATTTTAGATTGCAGTGATATAGAACTCAACAAACACAAGAAGGATAAAGTAGTCTGAATACCTCTTTAATTTTGTAACAAGCTGTTCACTAGGGATTTAAGTGTGAGAATCATCTTAATGACAGTGATAAGTATTTATTTAGGGTTTGATCTACAAACATTGACTTGATGTTAAGAGTTTACCAAAACCCAAGTAGGTCAGTCTGGTAAAGTTGACTTGAAATAACCTTGAATGAGTTTGAAGAAAATAGGAGCTTCATCTGATGACTGACTACACAACATATGATCTTTATGACCAGGACCATACAGTGTAGTGCTTAATTTGCCAGTACAGATGGAGAAAAAAAAAATAGAGATTAATTCAGGGCAGTCAAGTTCTTACCTTCTTTTTTTTTTTAATGGCTAATCGTAAAACTGTGATAGCTAGAAAATTATAGGAGTCCCATCTGCCTAAACATGGGTTGGCTTCATCTTTGTGTTTGTACCATACTTCCTTAAGCAAGCTTTATGGGCTTATAAGAATCTCACAAAGTGCAAACTTATATATAATCAGGGTATCATCATTGCCTGAAGTAATATGAGTCTGTAAATGTGATTGAACTAAATCAATGTCATGGATAAAAGATTTCATAACCAAGCTCACACAGAGCTTAAAGATTAAATAAGTAGTTGGAGTAACTCTGGAGCTCCTTTTTTTTCCGAAAAACCCAAACAACTAAACCAAACAAGCCCCACACAAATCAAAAGCAAACGCTCAGCTCAAACTTAGCTTGGTGACAGTAGTGTCAATGGGTGAAAAGCACCCATATAACTGAGATAAGAACTCAGCTTTGCTGTGCTCTACTCAAGCGGTCCATTGATTGACACACACAGTATGGCAGAAGCACATTACGTACAGTAGCAAATGAAAGTGTTGCTTGCTGGCCATCTGGTTGCATCGCGGTGTATCTGTTACCCATCTTTAATAAGTGGTCTCTGCCTAAAAGTCTTCAGTTTAGTTTCAATGAGAAATCAAACACCTCAAAACATCTGAATTATTCAGCTCACAGTTACATGCGTTGATATGGAAACTTTATTATGGCACTGTAGTAACAGGAACAACAGTGGTTTTCCTGTAGGGAGATATATGTATTTGTTTACTGCAAAATTGAGGGTCACATGAAAAATATCACAAACCTGAAGCTCAAGGCAATGTTCCTCTATAGTTAATATTAGGTTCTTTCTTATCTTATACCCTTAGGAAAATTGTAGCCAGAAAAGTCAAGTTAACTTCTGCCTCTTTAAGTAGATTGAAATATCTTTTGAGGGGATTTGCTGTTTAAAACCTAACTTTTCTTTTGAGAGCTAACCTCTCTTGTTTTTAAGATTATATTGATTTAGACTACTGTGAAATACTTTACAAGTAACCTTACCAGGTCTGCATATGAGTTACAGAACATGTAGCTGGAACAAGAGGGCTTATATTCCTGATATGCTAGACCAAAAGCAACCCAAAAAATTATGAGGAATACATCTTATGTAAAACAGACTGAGATAGAAAATCCAAAAATGCCATTGTGTAAAGGTTAGCAAGCTCTGCCTAAGTGGAAAATTATGAAATTTGCCTATAGCTGGTAGAAGAAAGGGAGAGACGGTTACATCTGCCTCACCTTCTTGACTAACTGGGAAATTGTTCAAATGTGATGTGTTCTGGTCTTTGTCTTTCTAACAAATGGTGAAGTTCATGAACAAAGGTGAGTGTGCTGTTCTAAAGTAGCTCCAAACTCCCTTCATTTGGTCTTTTTATGCTGTAGAAATAATAAGTACATTCAGACATTAATCTATACAATTTCTTTGGGGAGATCAGGATAGCCTCCACTTAAGCATCATATGGCCTGGTCCCCTTCTGTAGCCTTAAACTTAACAGATACTGGTTATCACACTGCTTTTGTGCCATAAAGGAAATAAATATATCAAAAAATAATTAAAAACAAGCCCTTGACAAATCATAAATAACAGAGTACTTCTAGATTTTAGAACATAATCTCCACCTGAAAAAGTTTATAAAATATCACTTT